ACCAGGAACCCCCCCGTTCGAGTAGCATGCCTGACAGGTGTTCAACGAAATGCACGCAAGCTTGATGGTGTGCCGTTCCTGTTCGAGCCAAGCTAGCAAGGCGCGGCAATGATAGAGGCAGAGGCCGTTGCCCGAGCTGACCTGGGCGATGTGCAATACTGGATACCAGGCCAGGGTATGCATCCCAATGCCATGCTGACAAGTTGGACTACGGGTAGCGGTAGCCAGCTTGCCACTGTAACAGGTGTGTGCCAACTGCCCTTCTGTAAATCCTTTGTCAACAAATTCCTGCAAATGAACACGCTTCCTATCATGTCCACAATCTTAAGCCAAAAGATTTTTCCATTACTACTTACTATGAAATTGCCAAATAAAAGAAGTATTTGGCGTTTGATTTTCATGTTACAACTTGGGAGGACAGAAGAAAAGAATTTGTATTTTGAAAATCTGTCATGCAAAGCGCACTTCTGTTCACGACCACTATATAAAACAAGTCACTCGTCGTCCCTCTTGTACTCAGTGACATTATCTTATTATGCAACTTGGGTTTCTTATGCTAAATACGATGGGCAACTGGTGCAGATACACGTGGGCTTAAATATCATCATGAGTTCAGCAGGACTCACCAATTGCTCCATTGACCTATCTGCAGTGCTTAAAACAATTAGAGGATAAAGATTCAAGAAACCCTGCAGAGACACATATGCATGTACTATATATTTCCTTAAGAGAATTGTCAGGTAACTACATACTAAATTAATATGGTACTGTAGAGATTGTAGTGCCAAGTTGGCACTGGTTTAAGGTATTAGTTAGATACGTCTTCACTACGTGGTTATCCTTTATACCACCAAACATACCTGGGGACTGGGGTTGATGGATGACCGTGAGTTGATCTATCATTCTAAACAACAAATGAACCTCAAACTATGTCATAATCAGTGACCATATGGTGGTTCTAAAAGGCTGTCAAAAAGAATATTTAAGGGTTTTAAGGACAGTATTACCATGTGATCAAGGTCAAGTCTCCCATGTAAGGTCAACTACAAGGACATGCATTATGCATTATTGTAAACTGAAGTACTCTCCTTTTGACTAAAAATTTCATACAACAACAACAACAACATAATCTTTCAGTCCCAAGCAAGTTGGGGTAGGCTAGAGTTGAAACCCACCAAGAGCCCCAAGTCACGGTTCAGGCACTTCAATAGTTGCTTTCCAAGCACTCCTATTCAAACATAGATCTCTAGGTATATCCCAAGCTTTCAAATATCTTTTTATTGTCTCTCCCATGTCAATTTTGGTCTTCCTCTACATCTCCTCATATTATTAGCTTGGCTTAGGACTCCACAATGCACTGGTGCCTCTAGAGGTCTCCTTTGGACATGACCAAACCACCTCAACCGATGTTGGACAAGCTTTTCTTCAATTGGTGCTACCTCTAGGCGATCACGTATATCATCGTTCCGAACTCGGTCCATTCTTGTGTGACCGCAAATCCATCGCAACATATGCATTTCTACAACACTCAGTTGTTGAACATGTCGAATCTTTATAGGTCAACATTCTGTTCCATACAACATAGCCGGTCTAATCGTCGTTCTATAGAACTTGCCTTTTAGCTTTTGTGGTATCCTCTTGTCACAGAGAATGCTAGAAGTTTGTCACAACTTGATCCACTCTGCTTTGATTCTATGGCTAATGTCCGCATCAATATCTCCATCCCTCTGTAGCATCGATCCCAGATACCGAAAGGTATCCTTCTTAGGCACTACTTGACCTTCCAAACTCACATCTCCCTCCTCTGTACAACTCTGCCAAAGTTGCATCTCATGTATTCGGTTTTAGTTCTGCTCAATCTAAAACCTTTAAACTCAAGGGTCTGCTGCCATAACTCTAGTTTCCTATTTACTCCTACTTGACTTCCGTCCACTAACACTACATCATCAGCGAACAACATACACCAAGGGATATCCTCTTATATGTTCCTGGTAACCTCATCCATTACCAAGGCAAAGAGATACAGGCTTAAGCCTGACCCTTGATGAAGTCCAATTTTAATCGGGAAGTAATATGTGTTACCATCGTTTGTTCGAACACTAGTCACAACATTGTTGTACATGTCCTTGATGAGGGTCACGTACTTTGATGGGACTTTTTGTTTGTCCAAAGACCACCACATAACATTTCTTGGTATCTTGTCATAAGCTTTCTCCAAGTCAATAAAAACCAAGTGTAGGTCCTTCTTCTGCTCTCTAAACCGCTTCATAACCTGTCTTATTAAGAAGATTGCTTCTATGGTTGACCTTCCGGGCATGAAACCAAATTGGTTTGTTGATATCTGCGTCGTTCCTCGCAGGCGCTGCTCGATGACTCTCCTATAACTTCATAGTGTGTAGCTCATCAACTTAATTCCCCGATAATTAGTATAACTTTGGATATCTCCCTTGTTCTTGTAAATTGGTATCAATATGCTTCTTCTCCACTACTCAGGCATCTTGTTTGATCGAAAGATATTGTTGAACATCTTGGTTAGCCATACTATAGCTATATCCCCGAGACATCTCCACATCTTGATTGGGATACCATCAGGGCCCATCGCTTTGCCCCCTTTCATCCTTTTCAAGGCTTCTCTGACCTCCGATTCTTAAATCATCCGTACAAAGCGCCTCTTAGTGTCATCAAACAAGTCTTCCAGCTGAATGGTGGTGTTCTTGTTCTCACCATTAAACAATTTATCAAAATACTCTTGACATCTATGTCTGATCTCATCCTCCTTCACCAAGAGTTGTTCCCTCTCATCTTTTATGCACTTGACTTGGTTGAAGTCCCTTGTCTTCCTATCGCAAGCCTTAGCCATCCTATAAATGTCCTTCTCTCCTTCCTTCGTAGTCAAACATCGGTAAAGGTCCTCATAGGCCCGTCCCTTTGCCACACTCACCGCTCGTTTTGCAATCTTCTTTGCCACCTTGTACTTCTCTATGTTCTTTGCACACTTGTCATGATACAAGCGCTTATAGCACTCCTTCTTTTCCTTAATAACCTTTTGCACATCTTTATTCCACCACCAAGTGTCTTTCGAGTCGCATCCGCTTTCTTTGGTCACTCCAAGCACCTCTGAAGCAACCTTCCGAATGCATGTTGCTATCTTCTCCCACATGCTGTTTGCATCGCCTTCATCATTTCAAGGGCCCTCATCAATGACATTTTTCTTAAAGACCATTTGATGTCTCCCCTTATAATTTCCACCACTTCATTCTAGCAACCCTAGCTTGTTTGTTCCCATGAGCTTGCACCAGAAAGCGGAAGTCAGCCACCACCAGCTTGTGTTGAGCGACCACACATTCTCCAGGTATCACCTTACAGTCCACGCATGTTCGTTTATCCCTCCTTGTAAGGACAAAGTCGATTTGACTAGAGTACTGGCCGCTACTAAAGGTCACTAAATGGGACTGTCTCTTACGGAAGAAAGTGTTAGCTATCATCAGATCAAAAGCTATGGCGAAGTCTAAGACTTCCTCTCCCTCCTGGTTCCTACTACCATATCCGAAACCCCATGAACCGCCTCGAAACCTGCACTTCATATACCTACATGGCCATTAAGATCACCTCCTATAAAGACTTCTCGCTACTAGGGACAGCTCTAACCAAGCGATCTAAGTCTTCCCAGAAAAGCTGCTTACCACTCTCATCATGGCCTACTTGGGGGGCATACGCACTAATTACGTTTAAGACTATATCACTAATGACAAGTTTAACTAAGATAATTATATCCCCTTGCCTTCTCACCTCCACCACACCATCCTTGAGTCTCTTATCCATCAAAACTCCTACACCATTTTTATTTGAAGTTGTCCCTGTGTACCAGAGCTTGAAGCCGGTATTGTCCACCTCCTTCGCCTTCTGCCCCTTCCATTGAGTCTCTTGAACGCATAAGATATTTACACGTCTCCTAACCGTTGTGTCCACTAACTCTCTTAACTTACCTGTAAGGGACCCTACATTCCAGCTACCTAAATAGATCCTAGTTGCCTTGACTAACTTCCTTACCCTTCGCACCCGCCGAGGTAGGTGTGAAGACCCTGCTCATTTTGCACCACACCCGGACGCCGATGTGGCGCGCCACTAAGGATGCGACGACCCAATCCTTGCTCACTTGACAACGTGTCTAGATTGCGACACAGCGCGTCACAAGGGTGACGACCCGACCCTTGCTCATTTAACACCATACCCGGGTTCCGACATGGCGCTTCGCTAAGAGGGTTACGCCCCAACGAGATTCTTTTGGGTTTCATCTCCATTAAAAGTGGCTAAGTTTTTACATTGACTCGCCGCACCTAACACAACCCTCCTCCTTTACCAGGGCTTGGGAAAATTTCATAGCAGGAAAAAATATTTTGGCTTTTTGTTGAAGTTCAGTTAAACATGAAAAGACAAATAGAATGAAATGGAGCACAAAAGAAACTGGCAGAAATGAAATGGTTGTATATTCTTGAAGCCCATCCTACAAAGCAACGCAGACACTGCACCATAAAAGAAATATATTGTTTGATTGATTCATAGGTCCTTGTATGAAATATATTATTCTTTTGTCATAATTTGAAAATTCCTTCTTATCATTGGGTGTGAATGCAGAAAATCGTGACCTGAATCTTACAAAAAGAATGGGAGCTCTTGTGCAGTCAACTACAAGAACTTCAATAGAAGATGAGTAGATAACACCTTACTTCATAGAATAACCAATATTTTTTTCTTTGATTGTTAATACTAAAGTTTCTATCAGTTTGAATTGGTCATGAGTAGGAGTTGGGGCGCCTTTATGTGACTGTAGATTCTCTATCGTCTCCTTTTACTTTATCTTCTTAACCTTTCCCTAATATCTAGTGGAGGTGTATCCAAAGACCATGACCTGTGCGTATAGCTCATCTCCAAACTGATCTTCAAATGCTACAACCTTCAGAGACAACTCGAATTTTCTTTGCAAGCTTGAGCTCAACTCTATGGAGTCCAGAGAGCAGCCTAGCAGTGACCATCTGCCTGGAAACTCCGCCCTTGAGCAACAAACGCCACACCAAGGCCAAAGTGACAATAATCCAGATGCTGATGAAACTGAGCTCCTATGGAAGCTAAGGAAGTACTTGATCCTGATGGCTATCCTAGCTGCAGCCATAACATATCAGGCAGGGCTGGCTCCGCCAGGTGGATTCTGGCAAGACAACCAGGATGGCCACACTGCAGGTGACATCGTGCTAAGAGTTAGCTACCCAAAGCGGTACCATATTTTCTTCTACTGCAACACAACAGCATTTGCGGCATCACTGATTGTCCTGATATTGCTCCTGGTTAGGGAACTGAACCGCAATGCAGTTTGGCTTCGGGCACTACAATTCACTATGGTATTGTGCTTGCTTGGGCTCATGGGGGCCTATGCTGCCGGGAGCTACAGGGAGGAGAGGACTTCAGTTTACATTTGGGTATTACTTGTTGGCATCTTCGCATATGTCACACTCCATGTCATATTTTTCGGGCATATGGCACCTAAATGGCTGCGGGATATGTTCATGGGTATCCAGAGACTCTGGAAGGATTTCCTGGGTAAAATTTTCAAGAACGCGCAGAGCAGGTGAGATGAGCAAGAGCCTTCTGACAAGATGGAGGAATTGGAGCGAAATCGTAGTTTCTTACTGGTTCTTGCCACATTAGCAGCATCAGTAACATATGTTGCAGGTCTAAGCCCACCAGGTGGCTTCTGGCCTGACAACAAGAATCCTCAATATCTTGCTGGTGACCCAGTGCTGCTAGAGCACCACCCCCGCAGGTTCAAGGCATTCTTGGTCTGCAATGCAACATCTTTTGCTGGATCCCTTGTGATCATCATCATGCTCCTCAGTAATACAGCAGTGGATCATGTTGTCAAGTCAAATGCTCTGCGGTTGTGTGTGCTTGTGAGCCTATTTGGGCTTATGGGGGCTTATGGTGCTGGGAGCTGAAGGGAGGTCCGTACATCTCTCTATGTGTTCTGTCTTGTTGGTGCAGTTTTGCTCTACCTCTTCCTCCAGTGGATCGAACCTTTTGTGACAAAGCCAGCTTGTGTAGAGAAGTCCATTGGATGGATGAGAGAAAAGAAAAATGAAATGCTCCAGAAACTGTGCTCTTTTGTTGAGAAGGGGAGTGGGATTCCAAACAATGACAGAGATCCTGCCCTATCAAGGCCCACTGCAGAACATCCATCCAACAAAAGCATGTCAAGCATTTCTGGTGATGCAAAGGATGACCTACAGAAATTGCGCACATATCTCCTATTGCTTGGCATCCTTGCTGCCACTGTCACTTATCAAGCTGGGCTCAATCCACCTGGTGGCTTTTGGGCAGACAGTGTTGATGGGCATATTGCAGGGGACACAATCTTGGAGGCTATGCATCCTAGGCGTTACAGGACATTCTTCTATTGCAATGCTATGGCATTTGTAGCATCTTTGGTCATCATAACCTTACTTCAGAGCAAGCTGATTACCATTGGTGCTATGAAGCGCCACATATTGCAAACAGCAATGATACTGGATCTCTTTGGTCTTATGGGGGCCTATGCTGCTGGAAGCAGCAGAAAGTTCTCGACATCTGTCTATGTGTTCATCTTAATGCTTCTTGTTTTCATCTATGTCATACTTCATGTTCTGCTATCTGTGGCTCTGAAGACACGACGGAATTGGATAATAAATCATTTCAGAAGAAATGATACAATTGATAGTGATGATGAAGAGAAGAATTTGGAAAAGCAGCGTAAGTTTCTTATGTTGCTTGCAGTACTTGCAGCTTCTGCCACATATCAAGCTGGCATAAACCCACCTGGTGTCTTCTGGGCTGACAATAATGGTGGCCACCGAGCAGGTGACCCAGTATTCCTTGATGAGTTTCCGCTCCGCTACAAGGTTTTCTTCTATTTCAATGCCACTGCTTTCGTGGCATCCCTAGCTGTGATTATGTTGCTTGTTAGTAAAAGGTTATGTCACAAGGGCCTCCAATCCTATGCGCTGTGTGCATGTGTCCTGGTTGATCTGATGAGCCTCATGGGTGCTTTTGCAGCTGGAAGCTGCAGGAAAGTATTAACATCGGTGTATGTCATCCTTGTTGTTCTTGCTGTGTCTGTTTATGTCATGATTCAAGTCCTGGTTTTGACATTTGCCAAGGACAAGGTGAATGATTTCCTGGAAAGGATGTTCAGCATAGGGGCTTTTGACCGCCAACATACATCCATAAATCATGAGAGAAGTATCAGGATTAGGAAGAGAACTGAGCACAAATGGCGCAAAGATTTGATGCTCATTGGAACTCTAGCAGTTACTGTCACATACCAAGCTGCACTGCTCCCACCAGGTGGGATCTGGCCTGATGACCAGGAAGGCCATTTTGCTGGTGATCCAATTCTTCAATATACCTACCCAAGATGGTATAAGGTATTCTTTTATTGCAATGCCACGACATTCATGGCGTCGATAGTCGTGGTCATCCTCTTGTTGAACAATACAATAAGCAAGTACAAGAGATCTCTCCTTGCCATGAAAACAGCAATGGTATTGGACTTGCTCGGTCTGCTCGGTGCATATGCTGCAGGCAGCTGCAGGAAGTTGAAGACATCTGCTTACATTTTGTTTCTTGTCATTGTTGTGTTGATCTACATCATAATGCATGTATTGCTATCATTTGACAAGGTGGCTTTATTGGTGAAAAGGAAGGGACAGAAGTGGATGCCGTTTCTGAAAAAACTGTGGGTTCTCATTGAAACTGAACCTTTGGACCATCTGTCATCTGCTGGGCAACCGGGAGAGGTGCCTCCACCTGTGTAGTCTTGATGTGGCATTTGTTGAAATGATATCAGATATTTACATCTTGAAAAGTTCTGATGCCTTAGAAATGATTTTTTTTTGAAAGGGAAACGACAAGTTATATACAAGTAAAAAGGGGTGAAAATAAGAGAGAGAAACAGAAAAGAAAGACAGGACAAGACTATTGTAGTCGGACACCTGATTTCCAATGCAAAATCTCATGGTTGTAACGTTTGCAGAAATGTGACCTGTTGTATGGAGTACTGTTAAGCGGTTCTTTCTCAGTTCATAATTTGTAATATACATTTTAGAGTGCACTTTTCGCTTCCTCGGCCTAACTACTCTGTCGGTGCTCAGAATCATTCATCATTGGGTTACTGGAATCAATGGGAAAAAAAATCATTGGTGAAGCCTTAGGATCGAAGACTTGGCTAAAAAATAGCCTACCTATTAGACCTCATTTGGATGAGCTTTAACTAAAAATTACCTAGCTATTCCATTCATTCCACTTCATCTGTCCTCTAATATAGCGTATTCTAGCATTTGAAATTTGTCTTGAAATATAAGGGATTCGCAGAAAAAAAAAAGATACTCTCTCCATCCCTAAGGCATTTTGACATTTCTGGATTCATAACTTTACTATGCATATATACATAACATATATAAAAGCTATGAGTCTAGAAATAACAAAACATCTTATAATTTAGAACGGAGAGAGTAATATTTTACTTGGTTCAGTACTTGCTATATTTTTATATAAAGGAACTGAGAGTTTATATTTTAATCATGAGGAATAGAATTGGATTATGATAAATTAGGAAGTTATAAGTGAGGAATACAGTCTATTGCATTCTTTCTTATTTTGTGTAAAAATGGCTAGAATGCACTATATTGGAAAGTAAACTGTAAAGTGTTTTGGTAGTTTTTACTATACACTTTGATATACATTGTCCAGATACACGTAAAGACAATGTATCTAGAGAAGGCAAAACGTCTCGTAATTTGGAAGGGGAATAACAATTAGCCCCGAATTGTTGATAGGCTGACATGAAATATTTGTTTACAAGTACAGAGGTGCATGGTTGATTATTGGTACCCAACTGCTGCGCCCGCTCCAACTGCTGGGCATCACGCTTCTCACGCTGAAAAGCCAGCCGCTCGATCTGTAGGGGCGTGTTTGATGGGGTGGCCTGACAGCCCAGCTGCTCCCCTGGGCTACAGTGCTCATGTTTGATGGCCTTGGCCCGTCTCCCAGCCCGGCTCGCTCGGTGCAAAACCCTCCCCTCCGCCTGGCTCCAGGGAAACGAAATCCCCCTTTTTCTAGGGCTCGGCTCCGCGCGGCGCGAAGCGGCCGATTTGGGGGCAAATTCGGGCGGCGGCGGGTGGCTCGCGCGGGACGGCTGAAACTCCGTGCACGCTCCCTCCTCCGGTGAATCTTGCCGCCTTTTTAAGCGGCCGCGCCAGCGCTGGCCTCCCTCCCTTCTTCTCCCTTGATTCTCCACCCATTCCCATGAAATACCGGCGGTGCTATTGAGGTGTGGTGTCCGGCGAGGCGGCGTTCTTCCCTGGTGGGCTTCCTCTTCGTTCCCCCACCCAGGATCTGCACCGACGCGGTGCCGCACCTTCTTTGTTGCTGGGACTCCGGGAGGTGGTCGTATTCTTCCTTCTACTCGTGCTCCGTTGGTGCGGTTGGTGTTCTTCTGGCCGGATCTGCTTCCTCTTCGTCGCCTGGTCTTCTTCCTCTCCGTGCTGCCTATTCTTTTCTCTGACGACGACCCCGAGGTGAAATTGATCCCCAACCCCCCTATTCTTTGATGGCAATGATGTTAGGGTTTGCTATACTACTTGCTCTTGATGATTTGTTCATTTAATCTTAGTACATGTTGACGTTTTATGATGGATTAGGGTTTCAAACGGTCTTTGTTTGGCATTACATCATGCTATGCTTACTGTTTTTGGTATGCTTATTTGGCGATGATGTTCATTTGGCATTACATGATGCTATGCTTACTATTTTCGGTTAACGATGCCTCTGTTGGTTCTTCCTGGTTGTTTGGTTGATCATGTATTTGTGTCTTGTGGTCAATGATGTTGTCCACGACACTTGGAGGCATGTACCTACAAGTAGACATGCCTGCTTAGCTTTTTAAATCACTGCACTTCCATGTTGAAGCCAGGTAGGGTATGTTGAACTGAGTTTATGTTTCAATGTCATATGCATGTAGATGGATCCCTCTGAGAGCCGTGAGTTGATGGGTAGACAAGCAGCTACCCTGGTTGTTGTCATGGTGTCATTTGTAACCAGTAGGCTTAAAAGGAGAAGGGGTGTATGTGAACCTGACCCTTTGCTATTGACACTTAGGAAAGAAAATGAAAAGCACAGACAATAGCCCCTTAATCTCATCTACAACTCCACTGATGTAGAGTGTCTATCTATGCTTAGAATGACCAGGGCTCCCTTTTTTGCTTTATGCAACCTTTTTAGACATAGGGGCCTTGTACCTGAAACAGAAGGATGCACAGTTGAGGAGCAGGTTGCAATGTTCCTTCATGTTGTAGGTCACAACCAGAGGTTTAGGGTTGTGCACCAATCCTTTAGGAGGTCCATAGAGATAGTCCATAGGCCCTTCCACCAGGTGTTGTATGCTGTTGATGAACTTAGGAATGAAATGATCAAACCTCCTTCCAATTCCATCCACCCAAAGATACTTGGAAGCCATAGATGGAATCCATTCATGCAGGTACTTGTGATTCACATGTTTCTACCTTAGGTAGATGTGCACATTCACATGGACTGTTGTTTCACCTAATATTTTTTAGGACTGCATTGGTGCCATTGATGGCACACATGTGTTGGCAAGGGTGCCTAGACGCATGCAACAGGCATTCAGGGGTAGGAAACATAACCCTGCACAAAATGTCATGGCTGCTGTGGATTTTGATCTCAAGTTCATATATGTTCTTGCTGGCTGGGAGGGCTCTGCCCACGATGCATTTATCTTAGCTGATGCACTTGAGAGGAATGATGGGTTCACTGTCCCAGAAGGTAACTGCACTACCAAGTCATTGCACATATGTCCTTACCATGGCACACACTCACTGTACACATCCTCTGGTCCACTTGTAGGTAAATTTTACCTTGTAGATGTTGGTTATGCATGCCGCAGTGGCTTCCTACCCCCCTACAGGGGGGTTAGGTACCAGAAACTACCCAACCAATGCCTGAGAACTTTTCAACCTAAGGCACTCTTCACTAAGGGTCACTATGGAGAGGACTTTTGGTGCACTGAAGAACAGGTTTCGTATGTTAGACAACAAACCCTTCCACCCATACAAGACACAGGTCAAACTAGTTTTGGCCTGCTGAATTTTGCACAATTGGATTCTTGGATTTGGCACTGACCTAGTGGTGCCCACTGAGGAGGAATGGACACCCAACCAGCCTAATCATAGCCAGCCTTTAGATGAAGGAAACTCTCAAGAGCCCAACACCATGGCTATTAGGAGGGATGCTATCTGTAATACTATGTGGGAAGGAAGGGGTACCTCTAGGACCTGATCATTCATTTACTTTGTTGTACTTATTCAGTTTGATTACCCTGCTATGGAACTCTTGGTTGTATGGCTAGTTATGTAATAATGAATGTGGACATGGCTGAGACCAAATGTTTGTTATCTCAAATGTTTATTATTGACTATTTGTTGATGGTTCTGCCAATTTGGTTTGTTTACCATGTTTGTGACCATGAGATACATCCATATAGTCCCAGCAACACACAACAAGTATGCTGTTGCTACTGCATGGGTGTCTCATGGTCACAACCATTTCATTTCATCTTGAGGATGCCTACTTTGAAGTTGTTGAATGTAATGTGCTTGTTGTCTCCTTGGTTAATACTATAGGATGGCTTCAAAGGCTGTGAATGTGCTGGCTGGTCAGGGTGGTTTTGTGGCTACTGCTGACCTCTACAATGAGGTTGCTGGGAGTGTTACTGTGGTAGCTATTGCTGCTGTTGTGGTGCAACACCAGCTGCTGCTACTGTTGGAGATGGTGTTGAGGGCCAGGGGGCAGCAGGGGGTCCTAGGCCCATGAGATGGAACAACAACACCTCAGGCTTTGTGCTTAGGAGGATGGCCAGTGAGTGAGTGATGGTAGTAGGCCTAACAAGGTGTTCAAAGACAAGGATGTTGTTGACGTCGGAAGTGATCCGAATCACACACCAGCAGAGCATTGGACGCCCAGGCCACAACAGACCGAAGAACGCAACGAGGATGTCACTCTTTTGTGGTGAAGAATGGAGAGGTTGTCAAGCAAACCACCAAAGGATAACCAACGTGCTTATGTGACGAAGGACCGGCTAGTTTTCAGGAAAAACTAGCAAAGAAACCGTCGAAGCTCTCGCCCGGGAGGGACCCCATCGGGGCAAGGACGTCAACGGATTGCCTAGGTCAACCGGCAATCCTAAGGTGCCATCCTTGGTCGTCGGATCAAGGGATGAACAACATGAGGGCTGAAGAAGAAGATAAAAGGGGTAAAAAGAGTTTGTGGATTGATTTTGTCTATTGGATAGATGGGGACTCAATCGGCCATGATCCTCTCGGATATATAGAGGGGGTGGTCTTATCCCAGTAGAAAACAAGTCCAAATCGTAATCTCCAAGTTTACTACGTCCAAAATAGGTCCAAAACCGACTTGGGGGTCAAACCGGCTCAGAAATAGTAGAAAAGTCAGCTTAGCCGACTTCCAGGTCGGCTTAGCCGACTTTCATGGGCCTGAGACGCTTTTTATGGGCTAAAAATAGGGGGAGCTGGCTTAGCCGACTGGCTGCTAGAAATTCCGGGTGAAAAGCTTTCAAAATTCATAATTATTTCATCCGGACTCCAAACGAGATGATCCATATATGTTTTTTGATCAGCTCAACAATAGGAATGCAATGGGGAAGTCCATTGTTTCATTGAGGAAGTTGGTCAAGTTGGCTTATCCAACTTAGGGAGTCGGCTAAGCCGACTCTGGCTGGTTC